CGTCGTCACACATTCAACCAATCGTAGCGAGAGAATCGGGGGGAGGTAGGGCGAAACGGAACAGCCGACCACCGTTTACTAGCACGATGTCAAATACCCGAGTCGTCCAGGGAAGTTGTTTCGCAAAATTAAGTTTGATTCTCTTATAAATGTATAATGCTGTTATGCAAAAAAAGAAAAGAAAAGAAAAGAAAAGAAAAAAAAAGAAAAGAAAAGAAAAAGAAAAAGTATGCGAGTCGTTTGTTGCTTTATTACACTCGTACAAATTTGCTCGTTTTGAAAACATGTACTCATGCAATAAAGCGTAACATTATAAACTAATTGCATATTATGACACCTGAAAATGATATAGAAACCTATTCACTCATTTTGCATTGTAGTTGGTAATATGCGTACCATGGCAAATTTCTCTTGTGTGTTTCGTTATTCAAATAATTATTCCTTTTTATTTCAAATGCAAACAAATAACACTGTCAACACCCTTTCATAAATACTACTTTGATGAACTTTCATAATCGTTGAAGAGAGACTATATTTCCCCAACATTTACACATGTTTTAAAACATTACTTTGCACGCACGTTTAAGATCTATTTTTGTCATCTCGTTTCACCCCATGGGATGTGGTGTGAGCTAAACTTTCACGAGGTGTGGTAGTTAAACCTTTGGAGTGTGGAGCCACATCGCGAGGCGGCGACTGGACGAAACTGCCTTTGGTCGAACACTGCCACAAAGACGTGAACACAAGCAAAGCGGCTCTGCCCCTGCAAGCGGCGGGCGACGAACATCCCTGAACATGAAGAGACTCGAGTCCACGCACTCTGAAGGCAGAGGTAGCTTGCCGACTTTCTGCCTTCACTGACCGGGAGGATTCATCGGAAGCTAAGCAAGATGCGAGAGGAAAGAAGAAAGGTATTTCTGAGGTCAAAGCTGATCTATTCCTTACTGCAGTGAATCACTTGCAATGGCTGGTATATTATTACTACTTCAGAAACGTTTAGATCGTTAATGACGAACCTGATTACATCAACAGAAATTACATGTATATATTATGACAAACTTATGTCAACTAACATAGATCTAAATATGAATATAAATTATTTGAATATAAATATGAATACCTTAGTTGGGATGAGTATCGACTAGTTCTGTAGTTCACTTCAAACTATTAACAATAGCCTGTGCATTTGTTTAAAGAAGTTAATATATTCTTTAATTTTCGGTGGTAAATGCAAATCGTTTAACAACTTTTTTTCCCTTTGTTTTTCTTCTTCTTTTCCTTCTTCTTTGAGTCCTCCACCTTGAAAATAGATCGTTGCACCTTCGAATACAAAAAAGTTTTGGGAATGGCAAGAAAAGTCCCCAGTTCTCTATGAGAAATATAACCGTCCTTCGCACAGTTTAAAGGTAACAAAGCAACATCAACAAAAATTAAAGCAGAGTAAGTAACTTCTGGGACAATGATGGAATATTCGGCCAGTGTTCCCTTGGTCCAGAAAGCAAATGCTGAGGCCCAGCAAGTAAGTCCCACGTGCCGTCAAGCGCCTGGTTCTCAAACTGCCCCCGCGCGTCCTTCCCTCAGAGGAGCGGAGGCCAGGGCACCGCCCGGGCAGCGGCGGCGGCGGCAGCAGCCTGTTTGTAAACAAGTGCAGCAGCGGGGCGTTTCCGCTTCCCACGAAAAACACGCTAGCAGCGGCGCACGCGTCGGAAATCGCAGACGCACGGATGCTCTTTGGCGCACGTCTACCTCTTTACATTCGCTTACACGTTAACCGCAACTGTTGCTATTGATAACTGTTGTTGTTGGGTTTTTTTAATTTATTTATTTTTATAGTATTTCCTATACAACATAACACAATGATTAAAGGATGCTAATTGAAAAAAAATGTTCCCTACTAATCACGAACGCAGTAATGAATACAGCAAACTGAAATTTACTATCAGCAATATTTTTAAGAAAAAAATAGATTTAAGTAACTCTGAAATCTGACTTACGGCATTGACACATAGCAGAAGGAACACTTTTCTTCGTGTAGACATACTATCACTCAGATTGCATCAGGAACCCATCACTGTTCGAGAACAAGAACTGAAAGTCATGATCATTTAAAAACAGTTTCAAATTCTGCGAAAATGTCTCCGCAAAAAACAAAAAACTACCATATATTCTAACAAAAGGGGAAATACATTTCCTTTCCTTTTATCGACATGGGTAACTAGGTGACCCAAGTTTTCAAATTACAATTAGTAAGAAAAAAAGGACGACTTCTCCTGTTTATGAGCAAGAGTTAATTTGGAAAAGGGTCGAGTACCTGGGCGTGCATCAACATTTCAACAATTAAAGCTGTACTAAAGCGTAGAACGCGTTTGTTCTTCCAAACGATCTCTCGGCGTTGCTGAGCCACAAATGGTAACGCCTTCCAAGTAAACGAGAGCGCTCCTCTTCCTGGCTTTCAGTTTTATATGCACAGGGATTTCTATAACGTTCTTAGATTACGTAAGCTCTGCATGATGTCAACGAAGACATTTCCACTCGACAACGGCGAAGCAGCTGCATCACATCAGGTTTATTCCGCAGAGGGGAAACCATGAGGTGAACGCACAACAACAGACGGTATCAGGAGCGTTGCATTCAATTGTCATTCAACTTGTCAATCCGGTTTATGAGAAACTCAAGAAGTGCAGTCGAAGTCAAACTGTTATGCCATCGGCAAGCTTCCACCTTTGGCAATTTTGTTTTCACGAATTTCAATCTCACATACATAAATCACCTTATGCCAACAAAGGTTTATTCTGACAAATATTTTAATTATTCCGAGATATAGCGTGTACTTAAAAAAACGTGTTGTAATGTTTCGAAATTCCGCCCAACCTCGTTTCCTTATTTGCGATATAAACAGCAGGAAGGTAACTGTCACGATTACTGCGAAGAAGAACGGTACTGAATGGCCTGTTCATTGTTGGCTAACAAATAACGCACCATGAGAAACTACAAACACACAAACCTTCGGCTAGGCAGAACAAAACAACTAGGGTTGCCAGAATGATGTAACAGTGCTTAAGCACCACATAAGTACACTAAAAATAAATTGATATCCCTAATTATTACATCAATTGCATCTATCTCCATCTTCATGTAATGCGCGACATTGTGAGTTCCACTCACCGGATTGAGTCAAACAAAAAGGGAGATGAGGTCCACTGCTTCATTATCCACGAGACCACTTTCAGACAGCAGACGAAATCCGGTTTGGGAGGGATTAAATTAAAGAGAACAAAAACCGATTCACGGAACGGGAGAACGCACGCCTACCAAGTCTACTAAAATACGTACACACAACACAGAAATCGTCACGAGAACAAGACACAATCTTTGTAGCATTTGTTCTTGAGAGAGGGTGTTCATTCTATTGTCTCAACGCTCAAAGACCAGCGGCGAAACGTTCGGGCCCGGAAGACTTCTCAAAGCGGACGGACCCGGGTAAAAGGAAGCTTATTTTTAGGGGATATTTTTATTATTTAAGGTACTAATACTACTAGTATTCGCTGTACACTTTTATAACGGGGGCCCGGATAAAAGTTTTGCGGAAGGACCCACACTCATTTCGTTACGCTACAGTATGAGGTAATTCTCTGGGTCATGCATAAAACGTTGCTATGGACAAGAAATGCCAGTTTAGAAATCGACAAATGGAAAAGAAGGAGCATTACGTATTCAATTGCAAGGTCACCAAAAATCCCAACGAAGGTTTGTGCCAAAAGTGGTGAGAATGGTTTTTAAACAAACACTTATCTGATTTTAATCGTTTGGTGTCCTAGTACATTCTGATAAGCAATTCCCATCCCATTTCCCCTTTTCCTTCTGCGAATATCCTGAGAAATTTTCCCTTTCCTTCTCAGTTTCTGGTCAAGGAATCTGCATGCTCATCCCTCCCCCGCCGCGGGCATTTTTTAATGTAATTTCACTCCATTCAAAACACCATATATTGGACGCATCACATTCAATAGAGTATTCATATTTTACTTTTTTTTCGAGGTAATAATTTACGAAATGTTAAAGTTGGGGGTGGAGGAAGTGAAACTAGAAGTCCTCCCTCCCCCCATATACACACACACAATACTTTCTGGATAAGCCCCTTTTGCTTCCGTCAGTGGTCTAACGTACAGGGTCAATGAACCACGGGTCTACCCCTAACTGGCCCACAGGCATGGTAATGTAAAGACCAGCCTTTTCCCTCACCGGGAATATTCCGTATGTGGACCCGCACACTTCCACTTCGGGCCTTGGAAATGGACACGCTTGTTGTGAAATCTGATAAGAAATTTGCGAAGACTCCTTAAGAAACAACACAGCGGGAATCCATCGAGAAAAAGGTCTACTTTAAGTTCGAGTATAGACAACGCAAAACACGCGTGTCACATTGCGTGAATCGCCGTGCTCGGAGCTCGGCGTCAATTTCCTTTCAAGAGCACCTCACCAATGACCTAACAAAAGAAAGAAGGGAATGGATTTACGATTTCACGTAGCAGTTCGCGAAACTCAGAAACGTCGTTTTGACATTTTCAGATCGCAATTGTTCGTACGACGAACGGCCACTTCATGCACAAAATGAGAAAAATACAAATTTGAGGGTTCCCACTTGCTTCAGTGTGGTCAGGATTAGAACAAAGATAATTAACACCTTACTTTATGGTTAAAAAATAAGTTGAAAACAACTTATTAATATTGGTTTTGCAATAATGTAACTTGATCCAGTTCTTTTTTGTTCTCTCACTTTCAGGAATAACGAGTAGTCATTACCGAGTCGAATATTTTAACACCACGAAAATTTTGTAGTGGCTAGTACTAGAACCAAATTGGGTTTTAGAAATAAATGAATAAAAAATAAATCTAATTAACAATCTGTTGTTTTTATTCAAAAGGTCTATTCAGAAAGGGGTACTATCCTAATTGTATATTTTCACATAAATGTTGAGAAAGTGGGCAAACGTTAAGCTCACCCCAGGATTGCCATGTGCGTCCCAGAACGGCCTTCTTCTCGGGGTTCCACAGCAGTAGGCGGAAGGCCTCGCAGCGGCTCAGCTCCGGCGGACGCTCGTACGGCATGAAGCCCATCGTCTGCTGGTCGGCGGTGGGGGCCATGGCTGCTGCGCGGCGGACAGAGACAAACTACTCAGACGGGCTGCGCGCGAGCGACTGACGCTGTCCTCCCGCCACGCCACTCTCCGCCGCCCCCGCCTCCGCCGCCGCGGCACGTGACAGCTGCTGCTCGCGCCCGCGCGTCCGTGGCGCTGCACCGCGGTGGTCAGCCGCACCACGGCCGCGGCTCCAGAAGGGTTAGCAACAACCGGCAGCCCTTATCTTCTCGTTCTGTAGTTATTGATATTGAAGAAAGTATAGCTCAGAAGGGGCAAAAATTGTGAAGAGAAAATGTAAACACCAAAATAAATGCTCGAAGATATAAAAGGATAACAATCCTTACCCATTTATTTACTCCCTACAAAATATCCATGGCGGAAAGATCTTTCCACCATACACATTTTAAGTTTAAGAAAAAATATGACCGTAAACAAAAAAAACATGCAATTTCATGAACTTCCCAGCTCTAGGCATTACTTACGAGGTAAGACTCAATGAGAATGAACCAAATGAAGCAAACATAAAATAGGTTCTATTGAAATTCATATTTATTTCTTGTATTTTATGTATTTAACAAGTAATTTTATAAAACACTAACTAAACGCAACATTTTTTAGCGTTCAAAGTTCATCATGGAAATTGTATTATATAATATTTTTTATTTAAACTATTATTTAAAATTTATTTACAAAAACTTTTTCTAATTTAAACATAATTATTGTCATAGTTTCTTGAAACAACTTTCACATTTTTAAGTTTTCGGGAAAGAGGGTGGGAAGGGGGTACATTTCAGAATTGCCCCGGGCCCAAAATTGTGTAGCTCTGGCACTGATACAAGTTCAGTCAATTATTGACGGTATTGAATGCAGGGCTGTTTCAAGAAGCACTGAGGCCCCAAGAGGATTTGAAAATAATAATAATAATAATAATAATAATAATAATAATAATAATAATAATAATAA